TTGAATGCAGATTTCTTAGGCCCAGGATTAAGGATGTGCACTGCCAGGATTCAGAGTTTCCCTGTTGGAAGCACTTGTCAGTTTTTCACTGGCTTTCCTCTATCCCATTTCTCATTTACCATGAGCTTTTGAAGGCATCTCTGGCTGGGTAACTACACAGTCCCTGAACTGAGAGCTAAATGAAGAACTCAGCGCTGCCTCTCATGAATGACTCCAGCCATTGTGGCCTGGAGCTATCTCTGCCCATGGTCCCACTGCTTTCTTACATATCAGAAAGGATGCGTCTCTTAACTTTGCAACAGGGATCAAGACATTTGCACTGCATAAGGAGCTAAGTGATGGCTTCAAACTGACTAAAGGATACCTTTATAAAATGTAAAAGGTCCCACTATTTCTCATTGTGCCTTCTGGTGGATCTTGAAGCTGTTTACTTGTAATCACAGTATGTTGGACCCTCGAAGTGATGCCTTGCTGCAGCTCTTGCAAACATGGATGGGTACCCAGACCCCTTGAGCATGAGAAGCAGAGCTTGTCCTTGGTGTGCAGCTTTGGTACTGCTCTGGGTGGTTATTCAGTGTGCCAGTGCTGCACTCTGCTGACCACGCTGTGAGCAGCACAGATCTTCATTCCTAAGATGCTCTGTTAGGAAATGCACTTGGAAAGGTGATGCTTATTTACTGTTTTTGACTTCTTCAGTGGTACCATGAGCATATAGCTGTTTCTGCTGAGATTGATGGACCTGGAGACATTCAAGACCAGGCTGGATGTGGTTCTGAGCAACCTGATGTAGTTGAAGATGTCCCTGCTCATTGCAAGGAGGTTGCAGTAGATGAGCTTTGAAGGCCCCTCCCAACCCAAACCATTCTGTGGTTCCATAAACCAGATGCAATTGCTTCTTCATCTTAAATGTGTCCAAATATCTGAAGGAGCTCTGAAAAATGTAGCTGAAATGTGTTAAAGTGCCACAAACACCCTGGATGAAAACGCTGAATGAATCAATGGGAAGTGCTAATATGGAGAACGTGGCAAACATTTGCAGTTCTGTCATCTTGCCTCTGTACCTCAGATGGTTTTGGGTGACAGCTGTATCTTCTTCAATGACCAAACTTTTCTGCTCTTCACTAAAGTGACCCAGTTGCAGCCTCATGTGCTTGGTATGTTCTCATCCTTTTCAGAGAATCAGGGAATCAACCAGCGTGGAAAAGCCCTTTAAGATCATCAGGTCCAACCATTCCCCATCACTGCCAGGGCCACCACCAACCCATGGCACTGAGAGCCTCATCTCCACGGTGTGTGAACACTTGGAGGGACAGTGACTCCAGCACTGCCCTGGGCAGCCTGTTCCACTGTATGTGAGTGGCTGTGGAGGATGAAGCTGAGCTGAACCATCTTTCTCCTTTTGCTGTGCTTCAGGCTAACTCTTGAGCAGTAAGGGTCGAAGCAGGACGGTGCTGATGAAGCCATCGTCTCTGACCCATGATGAGGGGATGGTTCCTTCTTGATGTTGCCAAGCTCTGCAGAGACATTGATGCTGAGCCAGCTTGGTGTAGCTGGTTGATACCCAAAGTTTGGAGTAGCTGTCGATGTCCTTGTGCATAAACACCCACTTCAGATAGGCAACTATATAGTTCAGTCCACCCTCTTGCCACAAAGTCATGTCTTACTGAACCAGCATTTCTCCAGCGAAGAAGTAAAGCTCTAACAGAGCTTTGGGGTTTCTGATGGTGGGGTTTTTTCCCCTCTTTTTTTGTTTTTTATCTCTCCTCCAGGAAAAATGGAGGGGAAATGAAGAGGATGTGAAGGAAAGACTGTCATGGAAACCAACGGCTCAGCCATTTCTAGAAACAAGGCTGTGTGCTGAAAGCATCCAGAGCAGTCTGGTCCTTCCAAGCTGGTTTCAGTGAGAGACTGGTGGTAGGAAGGTGCATAAAGGCCAAGGCCAGGTTGGACACAGGGGCTTGGAGCAAGCTGCTCTAGTGGAAGATATCACTGCCCATGGCAGGGGTTGGAACTGGATGAGCTTTCAGGTCTCTTCCAACCCAAACCAATCTGGGATACTATGGAAGTCAGTTGAGTTCTGGGTCAAGTCCTAATGTGTTGACCAAGTCTCAGGACAGAGCAGCTTGGCTCAGCAGTGACATTAAGCTGTTAAAACTGGGCAAACTCATTTCCCTAAACAGATATGCTGTGCAGTTCCTGGCTTTCCACAGACAGGCGCTGCATGGAAAGCAGGGAAGTGAGGAGCAGCTGCTGAGGCTGGCGAGCTGATGTGTGCAACCCAACAGTTTCAGAGTGATTTAAAACATGAAACCACTGTGACACAGAGCACAAAAGATGACAAATCTCATTTGGAGAGGTTTGTATTTTGAGAGGAGGGGACAGTTTGCGTGCCAGGTTTTGGATCAGAGCAGGTACAGGCTAGTAGGGAATAAAGTGCTTTTATCTAGCTTCATATCTTTGGCTTAAATAGAAAGTAGTTGCAGTTTCCTTTGGAGTAGCATGGTTTCTAAATGGCAATGAGTTTCTTTTTTGCTTACCTGTCTATCCACCCTGTTTTTCCTGGGGTTAGTACCTCCTACTGATGAGTGTAGCTTGCACAAGATCACCATCGTGCCCTGTTTCCCTCAGCTGTGAGGCTTGGGAGAGGTTGTCATGCTGCAGCAGAGTCAGAGAGCTCAGATCTACTTGGAAAAGCAACCCAAGTGAGTGTTGCATCTCATTGTAGCCCATTGAAATGGATACTTGGTGGTAATGGGAGACACAGAGCACTCCTTCCAGCAGGGTTTGGACGTAACTGAACTGGGAAGAAGAGGATAATACAACTTCTTCAAAGAGAGATGCTGGCATTTCGCTCTGCTGGAGGTGTGAGTTTTGCCTACGCTGCTTTGAGTCAGATCCAGGAGAGTCTCTACCCACTGCTGCAAACTGGCTTGAAGCCCACATTTTTCTGTCAGAGTTGTTTATCCATTTTTATACCCCAGCAGCTTCTACTGCGGAGGGAGGAGAAAAAACTCTTCTTCTTCCTACAGAAATTCTGTTCCTTAGAAAACTAAGGCAAGCACATCCAGCTTTGCCTGAAAGCAGCTTGCAGGGATGGCATGGTTATTACTGTTAGTTATCTGCTTTAGGTAAAAAGACCTGTCAGGTTCATTACATTGGTGATCCCCTTAACATTACAGTTCACAAGGAGACTCTCAAGTGTCCTGTTCCATACTGGAGCAATCGTGTGCTTAGTCAGTCAGCCCAGCGAGGTTTGTGTAGAGGTATAAATACTTCTTTAAGGGTGTATTGCCTGCAGTGCATGGTCTGTACAGTGGTGGGACAGTGGAGCTGAAGGGCTGTGAATGGCACACCTGGGAGAGTGAGTGTCCTGGCTTCAGATGTATTTAGGAATGTTGAAAAGGGGGAGCTGTAGTGCTGGAGAGAACAGGAGTTTGTCTGGGTGCAGAGAAGATGCTCTTCTCACGGCCTGTGTAAGCTGCAGTGATGGTTGAATGAATGCAGCCAGGATCATCCCACATTCCCTGTGTCAAGGGAGGAATAGATCCTGCCACAACACGGTTTCTTCTGTCCTCATCTGTTGCCTGAAGTATATGAACTGGACCCCAGTTTATCTCTGATGGCTGTAAAAGCATCCTCAGATAGAGAGCACAGTTGGAGCTGTGCACAGTGGGAGCTGAAAGACATGAATCCCTTCCTGTTGCTGTTAATGAATTAATGAATCTAGGCAATATTCAATTAATGAATCTAGACAATATTCAATTAATGAATCTAGACAGTATTCAATTAATGAATATAGACACAGGGAATGATTTTGAGCCATTTGCTGCAGCTATTACTGATGTGATGAAGCATGGGGGAATGTGATGTGTTTCAAGCTAAGAGCTAAGCTTCAGGGGCAGGGATAAGAAAGATTCCCCCGTTGTTCATCCCATATGTGGGCTGCTGGCTGGAACTGTAGTTGTCTGACTCTGAAGTTTTGGGGTGAGGACCAAGTTGTTCCCATGTCTTACATATATTCTGTTACATGCAGCAGCTTTTGGACTGAGCATCTCTGTTCAGAGATCTTTGGTGGACCAGGTTAGAAGCATCGGTCCTGGTGTGGATCAGGGAGGTCACCTCTGCTCCTAAGGGATCTGATGTAATACTTTTTCATTGCAGGCCTGTAGGAAAAGAAATACTGAGGTGCCTTTCTTCCATAATTGATTGTGTAAAGCAGAAAAAAGCTCCTTCAACCAGTGTCACCCACATCACTAATGAGTGCCTCTGGCCAACATCAGGGACCGTGTTTTTCTCTTCCCATTTGATCACTGTTCTCTTCATAAGAGCCTCACCTAAACCCCTTGACACCTCTAGAGCTCAGGGCCTGGTACAGCACAGCAGGAACACGAGTGTTTCAGAGCCCTTGGGATGGTGACTGCAGCTGGAGGAGGAGGGAGAGGATGGGGAAGCATGACAGAACAATTGAGAAGAGGGAGTTTGCAGTTCTGTCCTCCTGAAAGTCAACCAATTTCAGTGATTAAGGAACTTTAATATGCACTTACACCAGTAGCTTCAAACACCTCCTTTAAATGTTCACCTCCCACATCTAAGCAGCTCTGTCATTAACTTGATTTCCCAGTGTGTGAGCTCTCCAGCTTCTTCCAGTGCCTCTGCCTGAATCCAAGTGTTTGGAAAAGCAGGTACTTCATGAGGAGTCTGAGGATGGAGTGTGGGGATGGATGTCTGACTCCTACCTCTGAAAACCTCTTCAGACACCAGCAGTGGCAATGAATGAAATCCTGGTACTTGCAGTTATTAGTAAGAATTGGGAAGGTTCTGCAGCAGATCCTAATCCTGAGGTTCCCTTTTCCTCTTTCAAAGGGCAGAAGTACAGCTTGTAGCAGATACGTTTTAGCTGTGTTTGTAGATACATGTAAAGATATGTGCTTAGCAGGCAGCAGGCCATAGCATGCAATCAGATCTGAAGTTCCTTCTTGTTCCTTCCTCCTGTTCTGCAGGCAAGAGGCGCGGATATTCCCGACATCCCAGGGGAGCTGGCGCTCCGGACCTGCGGCAGCACAGCCAGTATGAAAGTGAAGAATGTGAAAAAGTAAGAGCAGTGTCCTTTAATTCTCCTGTCCTTGCTTGGCTTCTCTTTGTGATATCCCAACGAGGGCATTTGGGAACGATTTGGGGTAGAATATTCCTCAGAGCCACCAAGATCCGTGTGAAACCAAGTAAATTAGAGCTGATGGAGTCTAAAAGTGGGGATGTGAGAGGCTTTGGTGGCTCTCCCCCCTGTTTGTGGCCATGGAAGCAAAGCATCTTAGAGTTTTGAACTTAACACATTTTCTTCCTAGAACTAATTAGTAATAATGACTTAAAAATACACATTAGAAGAACCTAAAGATGGTTCCAGGCAATGTGTCAATGAGAGAATCTTCCCTCTCTTCCCATGCTCTGGGAAGCTAAACCAGGACAAATGGGTGGCCTAGATATATTTTTTCTCCTTCCCTTTCTTTGCGTTCTGCCCTGTACGTCTTCATCTGAATGGGGTTTGCACAGTTCCAGGGGTATTTTTTCTTCTCTGATCTCCCAGATTTATTTTTCCATGGTCTTCCTCTGTCCTTCTCTCTCATTCTCCCCCAGACAATATAAAGCAATTGATTCTGCTTGCAGCTAAGGTTTCAAACCTCTAACCTGCAAAGGGGATCAGCAGCAATCAATATGTCTTTGCTGTGAATGCTGACTGGAGGACCACAACTCCCCAGCATCGATTGCTCTGTGCCTTCAGCTCACCTCTCTGATGCTGTAAGGGAAATGGCTCTTTGTTCTAGCGCTGAGCAGCCAGCTGCTGCATCTCACTTCCCACTTCTATTCCCGTGGGAAGGGAGAGCTAGATAATGACAATCTCATTGGCTCACCACCAGCAATATCTATAGGAGTCTATAATAGCTTCAGCAGAAGCGAGAGCATGTTGCAGAGCCAGAGGATCTCCCCGTCAGCCCTCACTGTAAATGGAGACACTTGGAAATAATTATGGCTCACTTTGGAATTTGAAAAAGGCAAAGGATAAATAGCGTTTGTTCTGCACCCTCAGATACATCAACCCGGGACTGATGGGCTGTGATGCCTTTCACAGGTAAAGCTCTACTTTCCTATGTGTCTCGTGTAAGGCTGTGTATTTGCACTGCACAAAAGCTTTGGTAAAGATAGAGCAGCTTGTCCCTGTGCCTGTCCTCCAAGATGTGGGCTTTGGTGTGGATGAGCTGCCACACAGTGCTTTAAGGATGCCGTGGTAAAAGCCACTTTGCACTTTAGTTTTCCTTTCTCACTCGATTCCTTTCTCCACTCTTTTGGTGCATCACATCAACAAATCCCTCTGTTCCCTTGGCTTTTGGATGAGAAAGTGGGAAGTGTTATTTTCTATTAGTAACTGCATTTTGGAATGGTACTTGATGCTTGGTTCGCTGCTTTGCATCTATCTGATGGGGTGCTTTTGGTGTGCTTCAGGTTATCCTTTACAAAGGGTCACTTCCCGAAGATGGCTGAATGTGCACATTTCCATTATGAAAACGTGGATTTCGGCAACATCCAGGTGAGTTTCTGGCTTCTTTTATATACAACACATCCCTGGGTTTGGCTCCCAACTAACCTGCTGGGGAAGGCAAAGGAGGGACCTCCACTAAGGTTGGTTTAGCTTGTTTAGTGATGAGAAGTGAAAGCAATGGGGTCTCTTGCTGTGGGCTTGCTTCCATGTACTGGGCCAGCATCTGCACGTGTTGCCACCCCTTTGAGGCTGGAGTGGTGTTATTTCCACTGGATTTGACTGAGGTCACTGAAGACTGCCTCAAACACTCATGATGGAGTCATCTCGATAACTGCATGCATGATTTTATGTGTGTGTGGCTTTAACCAATTGATGTATTTATGTGAATAGAAATCATTCCATTTTATCCCTTCTCTTCATGTTGTCTTGGCTCTGCATTGTGCAGCAGAATCCAAGCGATTGTTAGTCAGCCTGAGTCGCACTTCTGGAAGTGGGATCCATCCATCAGAAGCATTTCTTGCTGGGCAGTAATGGGGAGGGCTAAGTACCAAGAATCACAGCTGGTTTCTCCTGAACAGGGCACATCTTGCTCTGCACTTAGAGAAGCAGGGATGCCTCCAGCATCTGCCAGCCTTGGAGCCAAAAAGAGGTTACAACCTTTCCATTTGTAAAGCATTTCCTGGACTAGAGAGTGAATTATTTAGAGCCTTTCATGTTTCCTTACTCGACAGTTCTGCATCTTTCTGTCTCTATGAACTTCCAACTGAGAAGGAGTTTGGGTCCTAGTCAGGGGTTGTATCTACTACTGTTCACATTTAGTAGGTGTCAAGCAGGTGTCTGTGTCCATACAGATCTCTCTTGCACCATGAGTTTTGCTTTCCATCATTCAGAGGTACAGGCAAGCTACAGAGAGATCACAGCCCTTGGGTGGCACCAGGATTTGAAGCATTTTAATGGCAAAGTGTGGTTGTGTGTGCTGGGGGGGGGGAATCTGTGCTCTGTTTCCACCACTCCTACCTCTGAAAAATCATATACACTTCACTATTAAGGTACCTAAAGCAAAGCATGTGCTTAGATAAAGTGAATGAGGCTCTGAGTACTGGCCCTGTGCCTCTTGCCCCTTTCTTTTTCTAAGCAAGATTTTTGTAATGGCCATTTGATATGTATAAACATATCCTAAGAACAGAGCTTTGCTCCTGAAATACCAGAAGTGGAGGACATTGCAGTATTTCCTTAGTAGCAGAGCAGTGTTAAGGGTAAAATAAATGCAAGCTATTAATACAACAGCAGTATTAGTCTACAGGTTTCAAAATAGGTTCATCTAGGGCTCATATGTGTGAATCAGAAGGCATTCATTGGTGGCTCCTTGGTGCTAAGAAGGGAACCAGAGAATAGCAGTAGGCTGAAGTGACTTGTAAGTGACAGCTTGGCACCTAATAGTGAGCTGCCAAGTTGCATCTGAGGGGTAGTGGGTGGAAACTCCTTTCAAACTCTCTTCAGTGTTCAAGATGTGCAGAGTTGCAGTGCAGCATTAGCAGGTATTGTGTAATGCTGCCTGTTAAGAGCCTGGCTGGATTTCAGCTTGTTTTGTAACTGTTGATGTCACTTCGAAGATGGGCTCATGGCGCAATCGGTATTAATATCCTGGCTCCTCACCTCATGAGCTCATTCTAAATTAACTTTCTGGGATGTGTGAAATAGGATTTGTTCACTTCTTACCCTAGCACCGTGCTAACAAAACTGGGTGCTTTTGGGGACACTTTTTCTTCGCAGAAATGTGCTGCTCTCCTGCTTTCTTATGTGTTTTAACCTTGTTTGCTTCTGGCCTGTGAGACACGTGTTGCATAGGCAGGAAATTGCTGGGTTGCCATGCACAGGTAGTTGGTGTCCAAGCTGTTGTTATAGGAGAGGCTTTACAGATTGCATCACTGCTGTTTTGCTGAAATACCTTCAATTTCTTACTGCATTGAGTTTTTAAGGCTACATCATTGATTTTTAATCTTACAGTGAAAAGCATCTGCGTAATAGATTCCTCTTAACATTCTCTTAACATATCTAACATTGGATTAATGTGTAAGAATCCCATTAGCAGGAGCAGAACTGTGATCTGGGTCTCCCAAAACATCATGCCTTGATGATCTTAAAGGTCTTTCCCAAACTGGTTGATTCTGTGTGAGGCCATGGCTGGATTGGGATCACTCGGCGTTGGTTAAGTCAGTTCTGTTGCTTTCCTTCCCTCAAAGCTCTGCTGCCTTCACACAGGGTTTAGCTAAAACCTCTCAGTGATGCCTTTCCCTCTCTGGAGCATCAAAAGTCAATCCATTAATACACAAAGCACTGAGGTTTGAAGTCCTCAGCATCTCTACCAGCTCTTACATTAAGGCAGAAAGGCTCACGATGCTTTTAACTTCATGAGTGCCTAAGACATCCTAATATAAGTTCACAATCAGCTTCTAAGGCAGCTTATTAAATTAAACACGATTTTTGGGTCTCAGAGTTGCCTTCTTAGGGGCTTGAGTCGTTCCAGCATGAAGCTGAGGTAGAACATAGCATCTTCCTGGCGGGATTTGAGTTGAGGTTGGACCCTCAGCCAACCTGATGGCCCGTTCCAGGTTTTGTGCTGTAGAGCTGTGGAGGTGAACTCATTCACATGGGATTTGGGGATCTCAGCGCAGCATTTGTCATGTAGTTTCACTGCCTTTCATCAGCGAGCTTTAGGCCTTGTTAATGTGTAGGAAGGGAACTATTTCAACACCTCCTCATGTCGCTAAGTTAGACAGAGTGGAGTGATTGTCCCCCCATAATAGTGCAAATGTGATTGTGGTTTCTTTAGTGCTGTGTGCCATTCATGTTAACAGGAGAAATGGAGATGGGGTATTCTGTAACATCTGTGCTTCCCGCCAGCAATACTTTGTTCTACCCTTGAAAGAATGAAGACTTCATCTTTAATTGAGTGGGTTTGAGTAATAGAATATGGGGAACTGATCAGCTCACTGCTTCCCAGGTGATACTCCTTGCTGCCTGAAAAGCATATTGCTAAAGGCAAAGTGCTGTCAGGCATTCCACCACTGTTCCATTGGTCATGGATTCAACCCCTTCAGACAACAGGTCTCTTGTCTCTCTGTGTAGCTGCCTTCTAAATATAACCCCATCAGAAGAGGATTGGATAACAGGGCATGGAAGATCCTTTGCCTCTCCTTATCTGTTAAACTTTGGCATTGCAAGTGGTAGGAGCATGTTATCAGCCGTAAAGGAAGTATTTGATCCAGAATCACTTCCGCCTGCGGAGGCATGGGCTGCCAGGAATGCTGCCAGGAATTCCTGTTCCCAGCTCAGCGGTATTGTTTGCTGCTGAATGCCTTTGGCAAGCTGCAGCTTTCCAGCCAAGATGATGCTCTTGCCTTGCAGTGGGGGCTGTGGTTCCTGCCTGTCACCGCGTTTTCCTCTTGCATCTTCAGAGTGAAGAGCAGCTCAGTTCTTCTCGTGCTTCCTGCCAGCAAAGCCTGTTGAGAAGGGATTTTTTCAGGGTCGTCTTCTTTTGGTTTGCCTTTTTGTTGAATACCATTCCAGGGAAGGGGGTGCAGAGGGGAAATATGTGCTTGGGAAGGTGTCTCTGTTAGTTATACAGTCATTTTCCTGAGGTGGACTGCAAAGGAAACACAGGTGGTAGACTCTGACCAGATGCCCTCCTAAGGAAAGAGCTGGGGTAGTTCAAGATGCTTCTGCTAAGAGCAGTTTCTCTGCACAGATCAACCAAAAAGAGCAGGAATAGAGGGATGCTGCTGGTCTGTGTGAGGAGTCGGGTCCAGCAGCCGTTTCAAAGCAAGGCTGCTCGCTACCTTCAGTGTAGGAGGGTTTCTTCATCCCGCAGCTCTTCTGTGGGCACGGTGGCTCTCGATGTCTCGGCAGTGATGAGCAGCTCCAGGCTGTCATGTCTTCAGTAAACTCCTTTGCAAAGTGTTCTAAGAGGAAAACATCATAGAATCACAGAGTGGTTTTGGTTAGAAGGGACCTTAAAGCTCATCCAGTCCCACCTTCCACTAGACCAAGCTTTGATGTATTCTGCTACGTTGTGTTCCCCTTCTTTAGATGGATACCTCCCCCTGTTGCCTGTCTTTTCTATATGGTTTCTTTACCATTGCCTTCTACAGGGGCAGGGGGAGATGTTGTAAGGGCTGCTTTAAGGACATGGCTATATCAACCCAACTATGTTCACTGGGGCTGTTCAGCCTGGAGAAGAGAAGGCTGCGTGGAGACCTCAGAGCAGCCTTCCAGTATCTGAAGGGGGCCTATAGGGATGCTGGGGAGGGACTCTTCATTAGGGACTGTAGTGATAGGACAAGGGGTAATGGGTTAAAACTTAAACAGGGGAAGTTTAGATTGGATATAAGGAGGAAATTCTTCCCTGTGAGGGTGGTGAGGCACTGGAATGGGTTGCCCAGGGAGGTTGTGAATGCTCCATCCCTGGCAGTGTTCAAGGCCAGGTTGGACGAGGCCTTGAGCGAGATGGTTTAGTGTGAGGTGTCCCTGCCCATGGTGAGGGGGTTGGAACTGTATGATCTTAAGGTCCTTTCCAACCCTAACTCTTCTGTGATTCTGTGGTTCTATAGTGTAGGTGGAAACTGCTTCTATTAAATCAATAATTCCAGCCACAATGCCCTGAAAACTGGCGCAGTCTCCTGCCAAGATTCAGAGTCTCTAGGCCAAGCTCCCTGATGCCAAAAATGTTAGGAAAATATTCGAGTTAAGTTCACCTCAGTTTGTGGCTTCTTCTGTTTCCTGCTCTTGCATCCAGCTTTGCCACAAACTCTTCCCTGGAACGAGATCAGACCTGTGACATTCCAGCTTGCTTGCTTTTCTTCCTGGGAAGCGGGGGAGAAATCCAGCACGGCTGGTCCAGTGGAAGGGTCACTTCAAGTGGATGGAGGGTCTCTCATGGAGCTTCACAGTTGCCTCTCACACATTTACTGCTTGTTTGCACTTGTTGCTTGCTGTGCAGAACAGTGGCAGCCTTCAAGTGATCCGGTGTTGAAGGCCAGGTTGGACAC